AACTTGATACACACGAAACTTCACATGCTAAATCAAGCATTACCATTAACAACCGATAACATGCCACACTCAAAGATTCCATTCAAACCAAAACCACACCAATATTCACATGATAGACACAACATCATACTTTCATCATTTCACTCGGGCACACGCATCCAATTTATTTCTGACCCGCGTAAACACACCTCAGGTCCAAAAACTAGCCATCGATCTCTAACCCACGTAAACACACCTCAGGTCCAACAACACTTCTATAACCCGCGTAAATGAACACGTCTCAGGCTCAGTGTCTCTAGCCCGCGTAAACGAACACGCCTCAGGTGCAACACCGATCTCACTTTTTATAACACAACCCGCGTAATACACATCAGGTTGAACAACACTTCTATAGCCCGTGTAAAAACGCTTCAGGCTAAGTGTCTCTAGCCCGCATAACACGTCTCAGGCGCAACACCGATCTCCTCTTACTGTACAACCCGCGTAAACGAACACGCCTCAGGTTGGCAGTCTTCCGGTATAGCCGGGCACCGTCCCGCGTAACACGCCTCAGGACGGGTTCAATTCCTCGCATCAACACGCCTCAGGGATTATCTTATCACACGTGCACACATTTTCCAATTATTATCTGGACCCCGCGTAAAAACGCTTTAGGGTATTTAATGGCCATGTAACACATCGACACCCAATCTCATGCCAATTTCATACGACCAATTCGCACGCGTCATCCAACATATACAGGCTACCAGTAAGCCATGCAAACTCACAATTTTACCAATTCAATTCGCACGTGCACAATTTAACGCGAATTTTTGCATTTTAAGCCAAATTTCACCACTCACGGGCGTCGTACTCCTACCGACAACCCCAAACCAATACGCACTATGTCTCAAACACCAATATGCATCAATTCAGCCACAGAATGAATAGTGATTCGGCCACCACAGAAAAATCACTATAACGACACATTTAGGCCCGTTTTTCATGCCATAAGTTATAATAATCACTCGTAATTATTCCAATCACAAAATCAATCAATTCTAACCTCCAATCCACCTAAAAAATCATCATAATTTCATCCAAACAGCTCAGCCAAAGCAGTCCAACCATTTCTCTACGAATAACCCCTAAAACTCGCTAAAACGGGCCCGAACTAACCCGAAATTACCCGTTATCCTAGGCGAGGGTTAGGATATCACTTACTTGTAATTCCATGCAAAATCAAGCCCTCAAAGGTGGCTGGACAGAGAGCAAACAGCAGCGGCAGCGGCGTCCCACGAAAAGGGGTACCGGCGACTCACCGGCGTCCACGAGCGGCGGCGATGGGCTGCTGGTTTCTCGACTGTTCTTGGCTGAAAAGGGGTGGCTGGTGATGGTGTTTCACGGTGGGAAATGAGAGAGAGAGACGGTGGTTGCGGTAGTAGTGCGACACGACAAAAGGGCAATCGACGGTTCGACGAAACGGCGACGAATGGACGGCGATTGGCTGGCCGGTTGGCCAACTCACATGAAGGAGAGGGGGCTGAGGAACTCACGGCCAGAGAGGGAGGAGAAGGAGAGAGTGATCGTGAAAAATGAGGGAAGAGAGAGAGAAAAGAAAGAAAAGAAAAGAAAAGAAAACCTAGTCTACCCCCTAGGTAAAATTACCATCCTAACCCTCTCTCTACTTTTAATCCGACAGCCACGATTCGATCTTATCTAAAAATCGACGGCCCAGATCGAATCCCATCAAAAATATCCAAGGGCAAAGTTGGAATTTCACAAAAAGTGCATCTGAAGTTGGTGTGAAATAACCAAAATGCCCCTCTCATTTATACTTGGCCTTCATAAAATCTCAAGGGCAAAACGGTCATTTTCCATTTTCTTCCAAAATTCCAATTTTCTGACGAATTCGAGCAAATTCAAAACTGACCACGGTACTTCTGACGTCGTCCAAATATCGTATCATGACTATCGAAATTTTCAACAACCAAACTCAGTCTCTATTTAATGGCCAAACTCAAATAAACGCGACTTGAGCTTATTTCAAACTAACGGATGGCTTTCGGGAAAATTCGTACATTCGACCCGTGGTCGATACTAAATCGAACCACGCTTAAGTTCACTTGAGCCATGGCGACCTCGATTGTCATGTAATTGCGAGGGTCAATCACTAGTTCTAGAGAACGCGATCGTTTGGAATAGGTTTGAGATCGTTTGCAAATTTCGTATTCTAGCGAGGCCGAATCACCGGCGATCCAATTATACGACATTCGCAAATCGATCCATGACCATCCTTAGATCGGTCTATATTAGCCCAAAATATCACCTCGACAATCCTTATGGTCGAAAGTCAATCCATGGTCAGGTTCTATGGTCCCGCGAATCTAGATCCCTAATTAGCCTTTCCCTAACGGTTAGTATCCCAAGAGTGATCAAGTCTGGGTGAGATTTACTACAAGTGCATTATTGAAATCAAGCATTTCATAAATACCAAGTGGGTCAAAATTTGGAATGTCACAACTCTTCCCCCCTTATAAAAATTTCGTCCTCGAAATTTACAATCAAAACCATACTATTCAAACAACTGGGGGTAATGATGTCTCATCAGTTCCTCGCTTTCCCAAGTAGCGCCTTCGGTCCCGTGATATTCCCAAATCACCTTGACCAGTGGGATTGTCTCGCTCGTTAAGACTTGTTCCTTCCTATCCTCGATCCGCACCGGTCTTTCCACGTACGACACTTTGTCATACACTATCTCCTCATAATTCAGTACCTGAGCTGGATCCGATTCATACTTCCTCAACATCGACACGTGGAATACATTGTGCACCTGAGATAAGTTTGGCGGTAAGGCGAGTCGATACGCTAAATCTCCAATCCTTTCCAACACCTCAAAAGGTCCCACCAACCGTGGACTTAATTTCCCTTTCTTACCAAATCGGGACAATCCTTTCATTGGCGATACCTTGAGGAATACGTGATCCCTTTCACCTGTCGATGAGACTTCGACGATGCCATTTCTGTAAACAATATAATTGATAACTTAAAAAGATAATCACACGAGGTTGGTCCTTTGGGACATCAAACGTTTTGCCTCACGGCTTGATGGATAGCATGAATCCAGATGTGAACAAAGCCTGCATTGTTCTGATTCCTTTGTGCATGTCCCTTAACTTTTCTTAGTTTTGCAATTTCGTCCTCTAAGCTTCGGCTTCGTTTGAGTGAAGGAAAGACTCTTGGCCTGTCGAAGATACTTCGACGATGCCATTTCTGTAAACAATATAATTGATAACTTAAAAAGATAATCACACGAGGTTGGTCCTTTGGAACATCAAACGTTTTGCCTCACTGCTTGATGGATAGCATGAATCCAGATGTGAACAAAGCCTGCATTGTTCTGATTCCTTTGTGCATGTCCCTTAACTTTTCTTAGTTTTGTAATTTCGTCCTCTAAGCTTCGGCTTTGTTTGAGTGAAGGAAAGACTCTTGGCCTGTCGAAGATACTTCGACGATGCCATTTCTGTAAACAATATAATTGATAACTTAAAAAGATAATCACATGAGGTTGGTCCTTTGGGACATCAAACGTTTGGCCTCACGGCTTGATGGATAGCATTAATCCAGATGTGAACAAAGCCTGCATTGTTCTGATTCCTTTGTGCATGTCCCTTAACTTTTCTTAGTTTTGCAACTTCGTCCTCATAGTTTTCATTTCCCTACAATGGAGTCCTCTTACTAGTGGGACTTGCGTAATCAATTTGTTCCGTCGTAAGGCATTAATAAATAGTCAAACTGCAGAAGTGGTATTGTTGGCACGAACAAATTCTAGGGAACTTACCAATTCAAACCTAAACTTATTGTATGGATGTCAGTTCAGTCTACTTAAACTTCTTGATTGTGCCAATGTATTCCTAAAACTTTGCGCTAAATTTCATTGTAATTCTTCCGAGCAATTGTTGCCAGAAATTACTGACTTGGCGATCCACGTAGGATATGTCAAGTAAAGTTGTCAAGGCCAGCATGCCACGTAGAACAGTCGAGAATGAGTTTACGTTACTCCAGCAATTTCCGGCGGCAATTGGCTAGAAGAATTATATTGGAAATTTGCATAAAGATTAAGTTTAGGACTGAATTGGCAACCGCATAGTAGGTTTATGATTGATTTGGTAATTATCTCGACCAATTTCTAGCGTGGCTCGCTTAAGTAGACATTTGAAAAAACTAAAAAGAAAAGAAGTTTTCCAATAGAAAAAAGGTTCCAAAAATGAAAAAAAAAATACTATCGCGACCTACCTCTCGAGAGCCGAACTCGATGAAGCGGGTTTAGAAGTAAGTGTTCATGAAACGGTCCATATGGCACATCATAAAAGATAGCTTTACCGAAGCGTCGATCTTTTAGTCATCCATACGGTCGGCATGGCACATCATAAAAGATGGCTTACCAAAGCGTCAATCTTTTAGTCATCTATACGGTCCATTTGGCACATCATAAAAGATGGCTTACCAAAGCATCGATCTTTTGGTAATCCATATAGTTCATTGATCATGAACGTGCATTTTCCTAAATCCATACCTCGCGTGACAACGGATCGATTTTATTTTTTTTAGGAGTCGCCACTAGCCTAGGTCGGGGGTCGGCTAGAATACCCAACTGAAACGCGGGAGTTTCGTTTCGGTTTCTACGAAAACCGGAGATCATGAGTTGGAGGACTAGCTTACGTTAATATTTCTATTAACACCCTTTCGATACTGCTAAACTTATCATGGCTGTCATCTAAGTTGTCATGCATTTATTTTTTTAGCATTTTCATGCCAAAGTCCTAGTCCACTATGTGATCATGCATCTTGTTTTTGTGTTTTCATTTAATAATCTAAACTAATCCTCTCTTAGTCTAGAAAAGAAAGAAAAAAAAAATATCAACAAACAATTGTATTAAAAAGCACTGCGTAAAGTAAACAACCAAGGTATTGAAAGAACTAGCTAATTCTAGGTGCAAGGAAGAAAAACTGGCAACTCATTGGGTGTTTATACAACGTGTATAAGAAACCCGAGACATATGTTGGGTAATGAATGAATTTTTACAAGAAAATAGATCGAAATGGACTTCGACCATCGCCGTATACAAAGAATAGAGTCGGAATGGACATCGACCTTCGCCATATTCAAGACCGTCATCTTTTTGGACCTATTCTAACCCTAATCTAAAACTGAAACTAAAGAAAGAACAACAACAAACAATATACAATCACAAAGTACACAGCATCACAAGTCAATCAAAGATAACAAACAAGGGACGAAGAATTTCAAAGGTTGCCTCAGGGTCGGCCTTTGTTCCGACATGCATCGATACCTCTTATTATCTACTCATGTTCATTTTATACACAATTCATGGTTATTAACTACCATTGATGTTCACCAACAGCAATTAATACCATGAATTCCTAAATCAGTTTCTATGTGTAATCCCCAATTTGGACCCACGATCATGCACCATCCCTAGGCATACATCTAAAAATCACATAGCATAGCGATGAATTAAGCATGCAAACAGGTCAAAAGACCTTGATTCTCATCCAATCACTCAAATTAGTGAACCGACATCGGGTCACCTCATTTAATTCATCACGCGCCAATCACAAGCAGATGCACTAGAAAATCGATAAATTGTGAGAATTAAAACTCGTGAAAACATTAAAAACCGGTTCAGCATGCATTATTTTCTAAAAATCCTAAAACAAAGACAAATCATAAAGGAAAAACAAAGAACAGCAGAACAGGGAATACAAGATGCATTCAATTGGAAAAGGACCCATGGTCAAATAGTTTTGGAAAATTTATGGTACATCAAGCACACAACAACGAACATTGTTTGTGAGAAAACTTCCTAAGATAAGCTACACATGAATTTACAAAATCACAGAATATGAATAAGTGCATCAGAACAGAACATAGGAGCAGATTTTCAGAGCAACCTCATGGAAATTTGGGCATGTTAATGTTGTCCAAAAATTATCAAATTTTTTCACGACCTAGGTCTGGGAATGAAAATCAAAGTCCATGAAGAACTCATCATCAAAATCTTTTCCGAAAAATTCACACAAAATCAGCAAAGCGCAAACGCAGAATTGGCACATTAAGCATTCCGAATTTACAATTTTCCAGATTTCAGGGGAACCTCATAAAAATAGTAAAGGGGTCTATGGACATGCAAATGAGACAATCTCGGCATCATTAGAAAGCTTAAGACGTGTTCTAAGACTTTCTAGAAGGCATCGGGTTTGATTAACAACAATTTCATGATCAATTGAAAAGGTTTCTACAATGATGCATATCAGTAATGAATTGCAGCAGATGAGCTCACAAGATACATGTTGTTTACTATCCTCATGGCATGGCAAAAAATGTGATATAAATCATGTGAATAGTATACAACATGATGAACGTTTTTCATGAGAAATCCAAACCTAATTGTGATTCTAAAAAAAAACATGTAAAAATGGGAAAACAGATCAGGTTCCTTGAAATCAACAATTACAGAACAGGGATTCAACAATGAGCATGCGATTGACCATGCAGATGATGACCGAATGACACGATTTATACCTTTTTGAAAAGGTAATGAACTATACCATGACTTTCATGAAGACATCAGGGTCAGGAAATCACAATCGCACATTCAATTTTTAGCAAATCCAATTCGCGTTCCATTAGAGGCAGACAAGACATAAAGTCAGTTCACAGAGGTTTTTACCCATCTACTTATCTCCAAAAAATCTGAAAAATTTATATGTTGCAATCAAGACATATGTGAACATTTTTCATGAGAGACCTAAGTTTAAATCTTAGCATAAAAATCAGAAAAAAAATCAACAACAGTGCAGGTCGGGCAAAATTAGCATGTGCAGAGGTCAAATTTCATCAGTTTTCCACACTTAGGCATATTCCAAAAATTCCGAGCAAAATATATATTATAAACAACCTGATTTAGATCATTTTTCATGGGACAACTCCTATTGAATCTCAACACACAAGGCAGCAAAAAATCATCAAACCGAACAACCTGATTCAGAGTAATCAATGCAGAAAGCCATTTCAGACCTTAGGTCGATTCACAGAGGATTTCATTCATCTAGACACATCAGACAAATCTAGAAAAAACACAAGTTATAATCAAGATGATTCTCAGCAACTTTTATGAAGACCACAACATCCAGATCCGAACAGAAAAATCAGCAAAAAATTAGCAAAATTGTTCAAATCGTGTAAAAACTTGAAGAAACAGAACAACAGAACTTCTAATTCTGATGCAAACTTTAGAATAGGTTTTCAGGTAGTAAACGATACCAAATCGAGTGCCGTAAGATATCAAATCGAAGCTCTCCAAGCGTATTACGAGAGTCCAGAAGGTGTCGAAGTCCAGAAATGAAGTTTAACAGGTCAAAATCGACAAAACAGAAAGCAGGTCCAGAAACTCGAAATTGCAGATCATCTTCCTGTTGGAAATATGGGATAAATTGAAGGGTGAATGAATAAGAAATTGATGCTCAAAGAACACCCTTGAGTTGGAAGTGGGAAGTGAAAAACACTATTCCCACATCGGAAAAGAAAGAAGGCTATGGAGTGCTTTATATACAGTTACACTTATTTGAAGTGGTAACTATCATAGCACAAACTCTCTGCCTCGCATGCAGGCGCAGGGGGGGTGCAAATCCGACGCCCGACAAGTTGAAACTTGGGCGCGAGCGCACATCCCGCGTACACGATTGCAGGACCGAAAAGTGGGCCTCGCGACGAGCCCAATTTTGCCTTCTGATTTATTTTTTTCAACTCAAACTGTTACGAATTTCGTAACGTGCGGATTTTATAATGGCAGAATTAATCATCCGTTATTCGTATTGATTTTATAACGACAGATTTAATCGGCCGTTATTATTCCCGAAATGCTCTCCCCTGCGTTCTATTTTTTCGAAATCATTCTTCCTCTGTTTTATATTCTCTGCATTTGCACGGTTTTCGATAGTGTTCAGTTCCGCAATTTGTTCAAGTTCGCCCGAACCTTTGAAGTCCTGATTACTTCTTAGCAGTCAACCGTTGTATCCTGGGAGACAGACGTTCACGAAACCTCGGACGCGTCCTGAAGGGAGCGAATCTGTTTTAAGGAAACTGTGTCAAACACAGGCCTCGGTATTCATTTGTATCGATTCCAACTTTGTTATTGCAATTTCGTTTATTTGCGATTCCGTATTGTTTGTAATTTTTATACTAATGCCGATTTGAATTTTGCAACAATCTTAAAACAGATCCGCGCTTTTAGAAATTCAAATGGCTACGGGTAAAGAAGTCGTGGATGTGGCTGCTGAAAACGATGGTGTCGATGTGGCTGCTGACAACATCGCCAAAAACTCTGCCTATGCCTCAGCTGTCCAACTGCCTGGCTCATCCTCTGTCCATCCTGCGGTTTCTGTCCACCACGGTGAGAAACCTGAAAAGTTCGACGGATCGAACTTTAAAAGGTGGCAACAGAAGATGTTGTTTTATTTAACAACTTTGAATCTTGCGAGATTCTTGACTGAGGAAGCTCCTAAGATATCCGATGGAGAAACGGATAAGCAAGCCTTCAACGCTGTTGAAGCCTGGAAGCACTCTGACTTCCTGTGCAGAAACTATGTCATGAATGGTTTACATGACTCATTGTACAATGTCTATTGTGCAAAAAAGACGGCAAAGGAATTATGGGAAGCCTTGGACCGGAAATATAAAACAGAGGATGCCGGAGCAAAGAAATTTGTTATCGGTCGATTCCTTGATTATAAGATGGTGGACTTTAAGACTGTGATCAGTCAAGTGCAAGAAATTCAAGTGATCTTGCATGAAATTCAGGCTGAAGGAATGATCTTGAGTGAAACCTTCCAAGTGGCCGCTATTATTGAAAAGCTACCTCCTGGGTGGAAGGATTTCAAAAACTATCTCAAGCACAAGCGAAAGGAAATGAACCTGGAAGAGCTGATTGTTAGACTTCGAATCGAAGAAGACAATAGAGGATCTGAACGCAAAGGGTTCAATCCTAATACAGCTAAGGCAAATGTTGTGGAGCTTAGACAAGGCCACAAGAACAAGAAGATTGCCAAGCCAAAGCTGGGGCCAAAAGGAGGAGTTTCCAAGAACAAGTTCCAAGGAAAATGCTTCAATTGTGGTAAAATGGGGCATAGATCTATGGAATGCAGACTTCCAAAGAAGAAGAATTATGAGACAAATATGGTGAATGGCATCGCTCAAGACGTGTCAAACATAAACCTTTCTGCAATGGTTTCTGAAGTAAACTTAGTTGGGTCCAATCCGAAAGAATGGTGGATTGACACTGGTGCCACTAGGCACATATGCTCTAACAAGGACCTATTCACAAATCTTGAACCAATAAATGGGGAAAAGGTTTTTATGGGAAACTCTGCCTCTTCTGCTGTCGAAGGCCAAGGGAAAGTGTTGCTGAAGATGACCTCTGGAAAAGAGCTGACTCTAAACAATGTCCTGTATGTGCCAGAAATCCTAAAGAACCTGGTTTCTGGGTCTCTGTTGAACAAGCATGGATTTCGTATGGTGTTTGAGTTAGATAAAGTTATTTTGTCTAAATCCGGAATGTATGTGGGGAAGGGATATGTAACTGATGGGCTTTTTAAGCTCAATGTAATGACAATTATCAATAAAAATAATAAGTCTTCCGTTTATTTGCTTGAGTCTTCCAATTTATGGCATGGTAGACTAGGACACGTTAATTATGATACATTGCGTAGATTAATTAACTTGGAACATATACCTTCATTTCAAATTGATTCAAAACATAAATGTGAAATTTGTGTTGAGGCAAAATTAACGAGATCATCATTTCAAACAATTGAAAGAAACACTGAACCCCTTAAATTAATGCATAGTGATGTTTGCGATTTGAAATTCATTCAAACGAGAGGTGGTAATAAATATTTTATTACTTTTATCGATGATAACACCAAATACTGCTATGTGTATTTGCTTAAAAGCAAAGACGAAGCCTTAGAGAAATTTGTTCTCTATAAGAATGAAGTTGAAAATCAACTCAATAAGAAAATTAAAAGATTGAGAAGTGATAGAGGTGGCGAGTATGAAGTACCAATTGGTGAATTTTGTGCACAACACGGAATTATACATGAAATAACTGCGCCTTACTCTCCTCAATCAAATGGTGTTGCTGAACGTAAAAATCGCACATTGAAAGAAATGATGAACGCGATATTACTAAATTCAGGTTTGCCTCAAAATATGTGGGGAGAAGCTATATTGTCAAGCAATTACCTTTTAAATAAGGTACCTCGAAAGAAAGAGGATAAAACCCCTTATGAGTTATGGAAAGGTAGGAGACCATCCTACAAACACTTGCGAGTGTGGGGGTGTCTTGCAAAAGTGGCGGTTCCAACACCAAAGAAGACAAAGATAGGTCCTAAAACAGTGGACTGTATCTTTATAGGCTATGCACATAACAGTAATGCATATCGATTTCTTGTGCATGAATCTAAAATTCCAGATATACACAAGAATACGATCATGGAATCTAGGAATGCATCATTCTTTGAAAATGTATTTCCTTGTAAATCCAATGATGGATCAAGTTCATCTAAACGAAAGAATGAAACTATGAATGAAGAAAGTCACGATTCGGCTCATGAAATTCATGACTCAGATCATGAACTAGAACCGAGACATAGCAAAAGAGCAAGAGTGGAAAAATCTTTTGGAAATGATTTTCTAACTTATTTGTTAGAAAAGGAACCATTAAATTATGCAGAAGCTGTAAATTCTTCTGAGGGACCTCTTTGGAAAGAAGCAATAAAAAGTGAAGTTGATTCTATTTTGCAGAATCATACTTGGGAGCTAGTGAATCTTCCTCCTGGTTGTAAGCCTTTAAAGTCCAAATGGATTTTTAAAAGGAAGATGAAAGCAGATGGCTCCATTGATAAGTACAAAGCCAGACTTGTGATCAAAGGATACAAACAACGAGAAGGCTTAGATTACTTTGATACTTATTCTCCTGTGACGAGAATAACCTCCATTAGGATGATAATTGCAATTGCAGCATTGCAAAATCTGGAAGTACATCAAATGGATGTAAAAACAGCTTTCCTAAATGGTGATTTGGATGAAGAAATCTACATGGAACAACCTGAGGGTTTTATAGTTCCAGGACAAGAAAGAAAAGTCTGTAAATTGGTGAAATCATTGTATGGCCTAAAACAAGCACCAAAACAGTGGCATGAAAAGTTTGATAATGCAATGATTACCAATGGTTTTAAGATTAATGAATGTGATAAATGTGTCTACATTAAAGAGACAACAAATGGCTATGTCATTTTATGTCTTTACGTAGATGACATATTAATTGTTGGTAGTGATGATAAAATGATCAAATCTACCAAGTATATGTTGAATTCAAGATTTGACATGAAAGATATGGGACCTACTGATATGATTTTAGGAATTAAAATCATAAGAACATCAGAAGGTCTTATTTTAAACCAGTCACACTATGTGGACAAGATTCTTGAAAAATTCAACATGAATGATTCTGGTATTGCTAGAACACCATTAGACAATAGTCTTCATCTTTCCAAGAATAGAGGAGAGGGTATTTCTCAAGTAGAGTACTCTAGAGTTGTTGGAAGTCTAATGTACTTAATGAGTTGTACTAGACCAGACATTGCCTATACGGTTGGTAAATTAAGTAGATACACAAGCAATCCGAGTGCTGACCATTGGAAAGCAATAGTGAGAGTATTCAGGTACTTACGATATACTCGGAATTATGGCCTGCATTATACCAGATACCCAGCTGTTCTGGAAGGATATAGTGATGCGAACTGGATATCTGATATAAAAGACTCAAAATCTACTAGTGGATATGTATTCACACTAGCAAGAGCAGCCGTATCTTGGAAATCCTGTAAACAAACTGTTATAGCCAGATCCACAATGGAATCTGAATTTATAGCATTAGATAAATGTGGTGAAGAGGCTGAATGGCTACGCCATTTCTTAGAGGATATTCCAAAATGGCAAAAACCTATGCCACCAATAAGTATACATTGTAATAGTCAATCTGCGATTGGAAGAGCACAGAGTAATATGTATAATGGTAAGTCTAGACATATACGTCGTAGACATAATACCATTAGACAACTACTCTCAACAGGAATTATCTCCATTGACTACGTAAAGTCAAGGGATAATATTGCGGATCCGCTAACCAAAGGGTTAAATAGAAAGTTAGTTGAGAAATCGACAAGAGGAATGGGACTGAAGCCCATGAAAGAATAAGTTGATATAAAGGAAACCCAACCTAGTTGACTGGAGATCCCAAGATCTAGGTTCAAAGGGACAACCTAATTATATAAACTTAGTGATGTCACTGTGGGGGTTATCCCTAAAACCATTCCTATATAAAATAACAGTGATATTATAAAGGAAAGGATAGCATTTTTGCTTTAATGATTCTTAAGTGGAGTAAACAAATTACTCAAAATTAAGTAATCACCTATGTAAGAGAGAAGTGGGGCCGCTTCAAAGGAGAATTATTAGGGCTAAATTCTTTAGAAACTCTTGCAGAACCAGGTTGATGTTCATGGCCAAAACGAACATAACTATGAGAACTGAACAAACGTTTAGATGATTCCTGTGTGAAGTGTATGGTTCATTTACATAAGAAAGCTGGACAGTTCAAGGACATCATGTCTACTGGACAACTAGTAAAGTAAATATACTTTCACAAGGGAAGGTTCAAAGGGTAATACCTACCTATCCTATACAGGTTTCAATTGTTGAACACTATCACAGAGTCAAAACTAAAACAATTTTCATTCATGTGGGGGATTGTTGGAAATATGGGATAAATTGATGGGTGAATGAATGAGAAATTGATGCTCAAAGAACACCCTTGAGTTGGAAGTGGGAAGTGAAAAACACTATTCCCACATCGGAAAAGAAAGAAGGCTATGGAGTGCTTTATATACAGTTACACTTATTTGAAGTGGTAACTATCATAGCACAAACTCTCTGCCTCGCGCGCAAGCGCAGGGGGGGTGCAAATCCGACGCCCGACAAGTTGAAACTTGGGCGCGAGCGCACATCCCGCGTACACGATTGCAGGACCGAAAAGTGGGCCTCGCGAAGAGCCCAATTTTGCCTTCTGATTTATTTTTTTCAACTCAAACTGTTACGAATTTCGTAACGTGCGGATTTTATAATGGCAAAATTAATCATCCGTTATTCGTATTGATTTTATAACGGCGGATTTAATCGTCCGTTATTCGTATTGATTTTATAACGGTAGATTTAATCGTCCGTTATTCGTATTGATTTTGTAACGACAGATTTAATCGGCCGTTATTATTCCCGAAATGCTCTCCCCTGCGTTCTATTTTTTCGAAATCATTCTTCCTCTGTTTTATATTCTCTGTATTTGCACGGTTTTCGATAGTGTTCAGTTCCGCAATTTGTTCAAGTTCGCTCGAAGCTTTGAAGTCCTGATTACTTCTTAGCAGTCAACCGTTGTATCCTGAGAGACAGACGTTCACGAAACCTCGGACGCGTCCTGAAGGGAACGAATCTGTTTTAAGGAAACTGTGTCAAACACAGGCCTCAGTATTCATTTGTATCGATTCCAACTTTGTTATTGCAATTTCGTTTATTTGCGATTCTGTATTGTTTGTAATTTTTATACTAATGCCGATTTGAATTTCGCAACACTTCCAACTTCAAGAACATCATCATCAAATCATCAAACATGTAATCAACAGCCATAAACCATCAATATGGAGTCCATAGAAAGTCCTAAGGTGAATCCTAGCCCCGGCTACCTATTGTAGCCTTGCTTCATCGGATTCGAGACTGAGAGATTACCTTTTGTTATCGCGTAAAAACATGATCAATCAATTTGTGTCAATCAATGTACGAAGCGCTCTGAGGGATCTTAGCTCACCAAGGACGGACGTCAACCACCAGAAGACACCAAGGAAGGTCCGGTGATGTCGGATCGACGCCGGAACAGCGCCAACGAGGGAGAGGAATCGGATCGGTCCGGTTGAACCGAACAGACTCGCTGAGGAAAAGGAGCCACCAAAGCTTCTTTGGTGGTTTTTCGATGAAGCTTCGATCACAGCAAGGTTGGGAACACGCCTGGGGAGGGATCAACGGTGGTTGGATCACCTGGACCAGCCGCTGAACAAAACCGGTCCGATTCAGACCAGTTCAAAATGCCGCGGGAAGAGAAGGAGAGACTGTCACACCCCGAGCCCCATCGAGCTCGTGGCATCCCTCTTTGGTCGAATTAGTGCGACAGCCCAGGAAACGCCGCCGACCCAAACTAACACATCAGAGATAAAGCACTAGCGAAAGCCACAAACACCCGAACAATATTTAACTAGGGGTAAAAGGGAGAATATACATCCATTACTGATTCAAACTTATACAATATCCATCGTTTACAAGCCACATAATATACATGCACACCGAACTTCTAGACTTCACACCACCGATATAAAAAAAGGATCAGTAGCCTGGGTATACCCTAATTTCCAAAAATGGGACACTTCAAAAGATTTACTCAACCCCTAAACTAGCCCCTACGCCCGCTAGACGACGTCCACTCCGATTCAGTCTCCCCGGAATCCAAATCTGAAACCCCCTGATCAACCAGCTCCTTTGAGGACTCTGAATCAGCCTCGATCTCAATCGGGTTGTCCTCATCACCCGACTCTAGCGAAACTTCAATCCACTCTTCCTCTTCGGACTCCTCATCTGGCTCTTCCTTTGGCTCATCCTCAAGTTGCTCTTCTTGTTCTAATTCCAGATCTCCTTCTGGTTTCTCTTCTGGCTCTACTTCTTGATCTTCTTCTGGTTCATCTTCGGGTTCTTCTTCCGGTGCCTCTTCAGGCTCTTCCTTGGGGTCTTCTTCTCTGGGTCCCTCCTCTGGCACTACACCTAGATCCACATCCATGGGATCATACCCTGCCTGTGATTCCTCCGGCTCCGGATTAGGCTCAGCCACTGAAGGTTCGGGTGCTGTGGGTATGTGCTGATGTCCGGATTGGGCGAGACTAGTATCCAGGCTAGTCATCTCACCATCGTGAGGGGGTATGGCAAACGGATCCCAATCTCCCACTCCGTCAAAAGGGACATCAAACCCACGGACCGGGCCGAACTCGTCCAGCCCATCCTGAAAAAACCAAGCGGTATAAGTGTGGGCTTGCCAAAGGGGCTGTCCTATGTCTACCCAGACTACGGTAGTATGCTTGATTCAGGCCATATTATCGTCTATCGGGTACTCTACAACGTTATGCTCAGTGTGCATCGATAGACCAAAACGCTCAGGCGGTGGCTGTGGGAGATTCATGGTCCAGGCCGGGGTTCTAAAATTGTTTGGTTGAAACAACCATGAGACACGTCTCAGCAAGTAAACACCCTAAACCCTACCTAGGCTAATACGTACCTCCAGACAAGACCAAACATAATATCACCCAATAAACACACATCATGCACACAAATGCACTTACCTGGGCTTTTGATACGCGCAATCTGCAGGTTAGTCTCAATTACACAATTTCCAACCACATGCGCATTGCAACATAATCGCATTCCCGAAACACAAGTCGAACATATGGCATTTCCAATTCCGCATTTCACACACTCGTTCATGCCTCATCACACTATTTTCATTCGACTTGCCAGCGACCCGCATTACAGTACACGCCTCAGGTCCACTGTCAATTCACGGTCTACACGCGACCATCTCATATTCACAACACTTCTTAGCCCATGTTACAGTACACGCCTCAGGCTCAACATCCACCACCTACGGCACAACCCGCGTTGAAGTACACGCCTCAAGTTGGCAGTCTTCCGGTAATACCGGGCATTGTCCAGCGTTAAAGTACACGCCTCAGGATGGCTCAATTCCCCGCGTTACAGTACACACCTCAGGGACTCTCGTGACCACACGCACGACATACCACATAAATTTTTCATTTAATCACTCGCTCGAACCTCATACGAACATGCTCGACTTACACACCAACATGCCAAATCATCAGCCTATCAAATTCAGCCCATGCACGCATCGAACCTCACGCATTTCACATGCTCAATTAACACCCAATCATGGCCAATTGCCAGTCAATTCAATTCAGCCCATGCGCGCATATAACGGTCCACATTTCAATCAATCAATTCAGAATCCAATGAGCATACAAGGCCGCCATTGGACCCACAATCACAGTCACTATCGTGAGCATAAATTCAACATTTCCAAGTCTATTTTCAGCCATAACAATCACCACAAACCAGCCGCAACACAACACACCAAACCGACACAATTAGTCCCTAAATCGGACCATATGCTCCTCATTTCACGCCACGATTTCCAGGACTCAACTCAGCATCAAATCAGTCCCGAAACATCACAAATTCATCCACAATTCAGCTAATTCCAGTCCCCAAATCAGTCTACTAATATAACCCCTAAACAGCTACTAATTAACCCCTAAACCGTCACTAATCAACCCGATTCAGCCCCTAATCAAATCCGTCGATACCCGATACCCTAAGTAAGTTTTAGGAGGCCACTTACTTATAATCCTAGTCTAGCTAGGGCTGAAGGGAGGGGCGGCAAGTCGGCGGCCACTCGACGGGCGTACGACGACGGCGGCTGTGGCTGGACGGTCTGCTGGTTCACCTCGGCTGGGGCTGAACCGAGTGAGAGCTATGATGGTGTTCGGTGAGGAGAAAAACAGGGGAGAGAGAGAGAGACGGTGAGGCGTGGTGGTGTGAGGCGAGCGGCCACGACGGCAGCGGTGGCTCCGGCGTGCGGCTGATCCGGCTCGGCGGGGAAACGACGGCGACGGCTGGCCTTGGTGGCTAGCTACGGTCACGGCGGGGTGGGGGAGGAAGCTTGGCCGAGAGGGAGAGAGGGAGAGAGATGCCGAGAGAGTGAGAGAGAGTGAGAGGGAGAGAGAGAAATTGGAAATAAATATTAAAAGCACCAATAATTGGTGTCTAGCCCTTGCCAAGTGACCATCCTACCCCTCTCTATCTCGAAACCAATGGCCACGATTTGATCTTATCCTAAGATCAACGATCTAGATTAATCCTTGCCAAAAATATCCAGGGGCAAAATTGAAATTTCACAAAATTTTCAAGGGCAAAATTGTCCAACAATTTCTATCTCTAATGTGGGTGTGAAATGACCAAAATGCCCATCTCCTATTATACTTGGTCTTAACAAAATCCCAGGGGTAAAACAGTCATTTTTCATTTCTCGTCAAAATTCGAATTTTCTGAAGAATCCGGACAAATATGAGGCTAACCGAGCTAATAACAACATCGTCCAATTATCCTGTAATGACCTTCATAATTTCCAATGCCCAAACTTGGTCTCTAATTAATGACTAAATTTAAATAACGTAACTTGAGCGTATCTCGAACTAACGGGTGGCTTTTGGGGAAATTCGCACATTTGACCCGTGGCCGATACTGAATCAAGCCACGTTTAAGTTCACTCGGGTCGTGACGACCTCGATTGTCACTTAATCGCGAGGATCGATCGCTAGTTCCGACAGGCGCGATCGTTTGGTATAGGTTTAGGGTCATTCGTCAATTCATCTCGTGGTAAAGCGGAATCACCCGCGATCCACTAATATGACAGCGACGAATCGATCCCTAACTATCCTTGGATCGGCCTACATTGGCTCAAAATGTCACCTCGACAATTTTTTATGGTCGAAAGTCGGTTCACGATCGAGTTTCTTTTATTGCGTGAATTTAAATCCCTAATTAGCCATTCCCTATTGGTTAGTATCCCATGAGTGATCAGTTCCGGGCGAGATCTAACTACAAGCACGTCCATAAAATCATCCATTTCATAAATCCCAAGTGGGTCAGATTTCAGAATGTCACAGAGACGGAGCAATCGGAGGTAGCTCCGGCGAGGCTTCGACCAGCAGGACGTTGAAAGAACGGACACGGACGTCGGAGAGGGTGGCAGCGCTGGTGGTGTCGCTGGCAAGGACCCGCCGGTGGGAGGTGAACCGACGGTTCTTTGAGAAAACCGCGTGAGCGGTCTTTAGAGGAGAGAAAAGAGAGAGAACGTGAAGGAGAGAGTGGGAAAAAGAGAGAGAAGAGAGAGACATTGCAGATTAGAGAGAGAATTTTTTTGTAAAATTCGCCCCCTTTCTCAAATTTAGGAGGGCAAATGAGCTATATACTCTCCTCAAGATTCAATCTCGGTCGTCGGTTTAATCCAACGGTCGAATTGTGTTTATCCTTTACTTGGAGATTAAGCAAAGACCTCATTTAACATATGCTAATTTGAATGGCTATGATTTAATCTCATCAACGGTTTTGATTAATTTTGAAATTAAGGACCTAATTAGGGGTATTTTTGTAATTTCACAAAACCCAATGACTTTTTTGCAAAATCTAAAAATTGGAGGGCATGGGGGAATTACTCAAAGGACGAGTCACCGGTTGCTGATCGTCAGCGATCAGGAACTGGTCGGAGGAGGGCCGAACCGGCCTCCTCCGCTGGTGACCGGTCGGACCGGTTTTGACCGGTTCAACCGGTTCGGTCTTCTTCTTGGGCAGTTGAGTCTCAATTGTTCCAAATTTATGCAATTTAGTCTTTGAGGGACTAAATTGAAAGGAAAGATTCGTCAATTTTGAGAAAAAAAATAGTCCAATTTGAAGAGAAACAGTCCAATTTTGATCCATTTAAGCCAATCAAACCAAACCTACAAATTTTATGGATTTAATTACCTAATTGGTCGTGAAAAATATTGGACCCATGCCATAGGTGCGCCAAATTGGATTTTTCCTAAGCTAAATTAGACAATTTCATACAATTTGATGCACCTAGGGGATCGGTGGACCCGTTATGCGACTAGACGAACTGACGGACTCAAAGTCAACGATCTCGGATTGAGCTCAAATTTGGTGGGCTGAAGCGAAACGGCGTGCTGATCAATACTCACGGC